GCCCCTGGGGGGACAGCCAGGGTATGGGTCCCCATGTACAAATTGACTTTATCAGAAGCAGAGAAAGTCCCTTTCTTAGCTACACAGCCAGGCTCTAAGAGAGACTCAACTGTCACCCTCTTATCTAGCTCTTACCTTCCTCAGAGGCATTCATCTGGTGCTCTCCCGTCCCTCCCTCCACCCTCACTCCCCTCAGTCATTCCCACCTAGTCCTGGGGGCTCTGGCTCTTTTTCAATATTTTCCTTTTATTTCCTGACTCAGCTTAGGAGTGGCTTTCTTATTGGGCCAGGTCTCAGACCATGCAGTGATCCCTCTCAGGCAGTGCCCACACCAAGTCACCTCCAGAGGGCGCTGCCTGCATAGAGATTTGTGATTCCCAAGGAGGAGAGGAGCAGCAGCAAGACCTGCGCAGACCGCAGCCAGAGTCACCTGCTGACATTATCTTCTTACTTCAGCCTGGACAGTGCGCACCCAGGCTTCTACAAGAATTACCTGCACTGTAAAAGCTCCCCCCGTACCCCCGAGCAGAACTAACAGCTGGCTCCTCTGAGGTCTTGTTTTCTCAATTCCCGGACTAGCTGCATTTTGCAGTAATATAGTGGACAGACACTGGGCGCAGGGGCAAGGGGACGGAAACATCTCAGGTAGGCAAAATGGGCTCAGACAGAAGGTTCCTAGAAGATGCCTCTTTGTGTTTACCTCTAAAGGCCTTGACATGCAGTCATTGACTAAGCCGCACAGTCTCACAATGCTGGCAGGTTAATTAAGTTAATTAGTTAAACAAGGAAGCCATTAGACTGAGGTGGATCTGATGCCATCGTAGCCTCTGTAAGCAGACCGAAATCCAAGCCCGTAAATGCCTCAAGGTTGAGGAATCAAACTCTAAAAACAATCAATCACGGCCAACTAGACTCTGAGCTACAGCCAATTAACAATGTCCTTGCTTTGCCTTCTCCTTTTCTCTATAAAAGTCTCTCCCCAGCTCCTGTTGGTAGAGCCCTCCTAACACAAAGGGTTAGGCACTGCCCATGGAATTGAGTTTTTCTCATATAAACGCTTAAAACATTTAATCTGCCTTTATTTATCGTTTGATACCACCAAAGCAGCCGACGAAGTTAATTGATTGCCTAAAATCATGCGCATCCCAGTAAGATACATTTCTGAGTGGCTCTGAAATGGGTTCGACAGCAGGATGACGTTTAATAATCCTTAGTTTCATTATGCTCCTGTTTCTCTGACTAGCATTCCTACTGATTCTAGATAATGGACTATTTCCTTTTAGATCAGTGTCAGGAAGATAATTCATTGAGTTGAAAATGGATCGTTATATGAATTTTAGTTTTCATAAATAAGGTACCCGTGTAAGGGACAACCAACCAGTTTTTAGGCTGGGAATATTGTAAAGGAAGAAAATTTTTCTCTTCTACTCTTCTAGTTTCTCTGTCTGGTCTAAGAATTAAATTAACATAAAACAGATTTGAAAAGAATGTCCTGCCCGGAGGAGGGCGGGGCCCGGGGGAGGGCGGGGCCCGGGGGAGGGCGGGGCCCGGAGGAGGGCGGGCCCTTTGCTGGGGGATGGGCTTCCGGGCGGAGGGCATTCGGGGTGGGACCGGCTCCGGGAGGGCAGGGCGAGGCGGGAGCCTGACCGCCGCGGGCAACACCGCGAGCCCCGCTGCCAGTTCGAATCCCCGTGCTTCCCGCGGACATTCCCTCCGGCACCGCAGCCTCCGCGGGAGGAGGCCGGACGCCCGCGGCGCTCGGCGTGCGTGCGAGTTGGGCTCCGGGGACGCGGGGCTGCGGGTGGGGGACCGGAGCCCGGGCGCGGGGCTGAGGGGATCCCGGGGCCGCTGAGGAGGGAAAGGGGGCGGGAGAGAGGCCGGGCCGGGGTGGAAGCTGGTGGGCAGCTCGCGGCCCAGGAAGGAGGCGGGGCCGCCGGCCGCCGGCACCTGCGGCCGAGCGGGGGGCTGGGCCCCGAAGGGCACCCGGAGTGTGGGGGCGCGGGCCGCCTCACCCCCCTGGAGGGGCCCGGGGGGCTGAGCTGGGCGGGAGGAGGCAGCGGGCCCCGGAGGTGACCCCGGGGAGCGGACCCCGGGAGGTGACCCCGGGGAGGGGACCCCGGGGAGCTGACCCCGGGAGGGGACCCCGGGAGGTCACCCCGGGAGCTGACCCCGGGAGGGGACCCCGGGAGGTCACCCCGGGAGCTGACCCCGGGAGGGGACCCCGGGAGGTCACCCCGGGGAGGGGACCCCGGGGGGCTGAGTTGGGCGGGAGGAGGAAGCAGGCCCCGGAGGTGACCCCGGGGAGCGGACCCCGGGAGGTGACCCCGGGGAGGGGACCCCGGGGAGCTGACCCCGGGAGCTGACCCCGGGAGGGGACCCCGGGAGGTCACCCCGGGAGCTGACCCCGGGAGGGGACCCCGGGAGGTCACCCCGGGGAGGGGACCCCGGGGGGCTGAGTTGGGCGGGAGGAGGAAGCAGGCCCCGGAGGTGACCCGGGGAGGTGACCCCGGGAGGTGACCCCGGGAGGTCACTCCAGGAGGTCACCCCGGGGAGGGGACCCCGGGAGGGGACCCCGGGAGGTCACCCCGGGGAGGGGACGGCCGGTGGCGATCGGGATGAGGCGTGTTCCCGGGAGGACGCTCCCCGGGCTCCTTAGGAGAGCAGCTGCAGGAAAGGAAGCTCAGGTGGAAATGCGTGAGCTCGGAAGCCGCGTTCTAAGGCAGTGTTTCCCACACTTCTCTCATGATGAGAATCGCCTGGCGGAGTTGTTAAACTACAGATTCCCGAATCCCAACTAAGAGGTGCTAAACTAGAATTTTGGGGACCACTTTGGGGACCACTTAAGTATTCAATTTTACCTATATGGTCCCCAAAATTCTAGTTTAGCACCTCTTAGTTGGGATTCGGGAATCTGTAGTTTAACAACTCCGCCAGGCGATTCTCATCATGAGAGAAGTTTGGGAAACATTGTTGTAAGGCAAAGCCCTGTAAGCCTTTGTTATTTAAAACGTTTGAAGCCAAAAAGGAACACAAAGCTAGGAGAGAGGGTTATGCATTAGCTACGTCAAATGATTGCGTAGTTCTATTAAATAATAACAGCATATCAATAGTGGTGGTTTTTACATCTTACCCCAAGAGGAATTTTACTGTGTTTATCTTGGGATGCTATTACGATAATTGTCCTGCCTGAAGGACCAACTTTTAAGCATAATTTTATATAGAGTTTTGCTCATATATGTGATACATGGGATAATAATTCAGTAAAAATTGAAAATATACAGCTAAAATTCTCTTCAGATCTAAAAAACCACTAATAGCCCTAACCGGTTTGGCTCAGTGGGTAGAGCGTCAGCCTGCGGACTGAAGGGTCCCTGGTTCCATTCCAGTCAAGGGCATGTACCTTGGTTTCGGGCACATTCCCAGTGGGAGGTGTGCAGGAGGCAGCTGATCGATGTTTCTAACTATCTCCTTTCCTTTCTGTAAAAAATCAAAATATATTTTTATAAAATAATAAAATTTAAAAAACACTATAGTTCATGTAATATAATCTTAAAAAGAGGAAGACATGGAACTTTTTAATGACCAAATCATCAAGCAATGTCTCTGTTTTGGTGTACCTCATCTTAAATAACATACGCCTCCCAAATGACATTGAGTAATTACTTTAGGCTTTTACTCTGGACTAGTTGCCACTGCCACTTTCCCACATCATGCTCCTTCCTCGGTCTAGAAGGCCTGAACTTCAAATTTGCGTTTTCTTCCTCTTTGCCAGAGGAAAGTCTAAATACAGTGTCTCATACTTTTAGATGGCATTAATCTTGATTTTTCTAGACACTCTCACACCCCACATCGAAGTGCTGGCTGGTTTGCAGAAGCCTTTCTCCATCCTTCCTGCATTTCCAGGACTGGTTCCATAGGAACAAGCAAACTCTTATTCTTCTCCTGTGTCAGCCAGCTGGCTACTCCAAAGGTTGTCCTTACACAGAATAACAAGAGGATGGTATCACTGAGTGACTGCTGTGAGCATATTAATTTCCAGATGTCTTTTGTTTACCAAACACCATATGAAAAACAGGAGTATTCATCTGCTCCAAAGTGCTCTTAACAGAATGCTACATGCTGGGTGGCGTGAACTGCAGAAATGTATTTTCTCGCGGTTCTGAAGGGTGGAAGTCCAAAATGACGGTGCCAGTGGGGTTGGTATTCCGTGAGGGCTCTCTCCTTGAGGTGCAGTTGGCCACCTCACCGTGTGCTCACGTGACCTTTCCTCTGTGTGAGCACAAGGAGAGAGAGAAGGAGAGTTCTCCCTTTTTAAAAATCTTTTTCCTAATCTTCCTTTTTCTTCTTTAATGGATGGTAAAGACAGGACTGCAAAGTTAGTCCTTTCTTAGTGTGTACAGGAATGCCTAGTCTTCCTCTTCTCATAAGGCCACAGTCCCACTGTAATGACCTCATTTAACCTTAATTATTTCCTAAAGACCCTGTCTCCAAGCACAGTCATTGTGAGATACAGTAGTACTTCAACACATGGATTTGGGGGATGTTCACAATTCAGTCGATAGCAGTAACCACAGAACACAGCAAAAATATTTGTAGCATGAGAGGTATTTTAAATACCTTAAATTGAGAATACCTATATTTAAAGATTTAATGATATATCAGATTTTAAGTCCAGCCATACTGATGGCAAGGAATGAATGTTGAATAGATGCATAATTATTTTTTATATGGTAGGGACAATTTTTACATGTGTATGTATCGATACAGTCATGTTAGATTTCTCTAAAGAAAACACAGTAAGGGTGGAGCTGGAGAGCAGTGGAGAAGCCAGAACACAATGGCTATTGTTAATGGGCACAACAAAACTTCTAAGAGGAATGAAGCTCAAGTAGGTGCTCTGAGTAGAGGACAGAAACGTTACTATTTATTACTACTATTGTGCTTTAGATTTTTTTGTTATTTGTTTGTTTTGACAGTATTTACTCTGCACTAGTTTGGACATGAATCAAAGCAGCAATGGATGTGTGAAAAAGGTTAGCAGTGTGAATCTTGACAAACTTATAAGTGACTTCTCACAGATAGAAAAGGTATGTAAAGGTATCAAACAGTTAAGGTGTAGAGGGGAAACGTGGAACAGATTTTGCCAGTGGAAGGAATTGGAAAGAAAGAAAAATGTACAGCCCAAAATGAGCAGGGTAAAGACAATGGGGATGTACTTTGCTAAGTAAGCCCTTAAAAATCCATATTTAAAATATATATGGTTTTGGCTCATTTGTACTAATGCATCAAAATGTTTCTGGGTCAAGGCAGTAAATAATTGATATCGTTTTTGCTAAAGTTAATGGGAAAATACCTACTTAAACGCCCAAGATGTCCGTAAACTCAGGAATGATTTAGTAAGAATTGAAGTAGACTCCGTCCTCAGTGTCTTACCACTATGACTAAAAGGTTTTGTAGTCTTTCCTCTTCTGTCTCTCCCCTTTCCTCTCTTTATGGAAAGGCAGACCCACTGAAGTCCTCTCTCCCCAACTCTGTACACGTTTCATGACAGACCAAACCCACAAGCAAACATTCGTTTGTTCCTTCCTCCACCTGGGAGAGGAGCAGGGATAGCTGTTGAGAAAACATAGATGGATAAATTAAAGATTTGGAGATTGGGTTTGTGAAGCAGAAAGGGGAGAGGAAATAACACCTACCTTTATTTTCTCTCCTGTTTTATCATTCTTCTCTATTTCTGCTTTTCATCCCACAATGTAATATATCATAATAAAAGAATTTTCACTATGATAAGCATTTTGAGGTACTATTATGAGCTTTTAATTGATTGGCTGCCTCCTGACGCCAACCTGGGCATGTGCCCCTGACTGGGAATCGAACCGTGGCCCCCTGGTTCATAGGCTGACGCTCAACCACTAAGTCACACTGGTTGGGCCGCTATTATGAGCTTTTATACAAAGAGCATGGTGGTGGTTTTTTTGTTTTTTGGTTTTTTTTTAAAAAACAAGTGATTCTTACTAAGATAAGACAGGAAGAGATTTAGCATTATTTATCTAAGGAAAGGAATTGGTGCAAAATTTTTGGAGCTTATTTTATAAATGTCTATTATATCTTAAACATTTTAAATTAGAAATATTGTTCATTTTTATGTGATAATGGTGGTTTTTAAGAGTCTTGTCTCTTATAGACATATATAGATGGTAATATTTCTGGATGAAGTAAATTTATGGGAGTTGTTTTGAGATAAATTCAGAAGTGAAGACAATAGGAAAGTGGGTATAGACAATATGAGACTAGTCATGAATTGATCGTTTCTGAAGGTGTTTGATGGGTATGTGGCAGCTGTTATACTATTCACAAAGATAACAGAGAGATATATTCAAGAATGTTTATTTATTGTTCGTAAGGGCAAAAATGTGGAAACAACAAATTTTCCTCAAAAGTGAACTACTTAAATAAATTGCAGAATATGTATAGATGAAATTCAGTGCAGCTGTTAAAAGAATAAGAGTATAACATGATCCTTCCCTTCAGTTATATAATGATAAAATATTTGGGAAACACACATGAAGAATTGTTAACCATGGGATTGAAAGTTGAATGGTTAGAAAGAAGGGGGTTCAAGTTATGTCAGATATTAAGTAGTCTGTATTTTCATTAGCTTTATATGCTTAGGTAAGGAAATAAAATTAACAGCATTGATCTGGTTATGATATATATTGTTTTCTCTACAGAAAATGGTAGAAACTGCTGGAAGGAACAACATACTGAATATGCAGTTGGAAAAAGCTAACTGTTTATTAAAAGGAATGCAAACAAATGAGACCTCACTTAAAGAAGGTTAGTTCTTGGCTGCCTGGAGGAATACTAATATCATGAGAGTGCTTTGGGGTACAACAGTGATTAATATTGCACCATGCATTTGTAAAATATTCAAAATTCACACAGCACTTTCTAGACTGTCATTTTATCTTTAATATAGCCCTAATGGACAAATAGGATTAATTACTCCACATCAATAATGAAGAAAAATAAGATAAAAGAAGTTAAATAAATTATCTGAGTCCACTCAGCTAAGAAATGGCAAATCCAAGAATCAATCCAGGCTTTTAAAATCATGGGGGGAAATACAGTTGAGTTCCTGCTTCACAATAACTCCAAAATAAATATTTAAAAAAAAAAAAAAAAAAGCTTAGTGTTAAAACACCCAGTCTGATGCTCTCCCCTCTGTTCTGACACCCACACCACGTGTTGCTCAGCTCCCATGGCCGCCCTCTCAGCTGCACCCACCCTCACCTGTGTGTCCCAGGAGCCTGGGCTCCCTGCGCTGGGGCTGTGCACTGAGCAGGCAGCGCTTCTCTGCGGGGCTTTCAGGGAGGGAAGCGGTTAGTGTGAGGGCAGGATTGCAGAGATAGTCACTTTTCACTACCTTTGTGTCTCATGTGTATCTTATGTTGGAAAATATAGTTAAACACTTTTTAAACGTCCAGTTCTCATTTTAAATCTAATGGCCTCTGGCTAGATAATACGCAGCAGAAGTAAACGAACTAGTAAGATTGACAACTCATAAAGTCAAGTGTGTGCTAATTCCCTTAGAGAAGAACAAACTCTATATGCAGTTGAATTTGTTCAACCATAAAGAATGAGATCTTGGTATTTTATTTTCCACATTTGACACCAGATAAAGAATTTCTTTGCCATTTCAAGATGGTAAGTAATATTAGTATTGAGGACCAAGTGCTGTAAAAATTATTGTCATGCGTAATTGTGTTTAACATTTCCAACTGCTTAACGAAATAGGTGTTAAAATGCAAATTACTAGTGAATTTTAGAGCTTAAATTTGAGCTCAACAATTGATTAAATTTATAGTAGTTTAGTATTCTGAACTCTAGTTTTTAAGAGTTGAATAGGACAATAGTATTGTTCAAACTATATTATAAAGTCTATTAGAATGATAATTGGGTAAGTGTTTGCAACAAGAATTAAAATCTATTCTAAAATAATGAAGGGTGTTCTAAGGAACAATTTATTGAGCCAGTTTCCTTTGTTTAAAAAAAAATGTGCTGGTTCTGGGACCGGTTTGGCTCAGTGGATAGAGCGTTGGCCTGCGGACTGAGGGGTTCCGGGTTCCGGGCAGGGGCATGTGCCTTGGTTGTGGGCACATCCCCAGTAGAGGGTGTGCAAGAGGCAGCTGATCGATGATTCTCTCTCATCGATGTTTCTAACTCTCTATCCCTCTCTCTTCCTCTCTGTGAAAAATCAATAAAATATATTTTTTTAATGTGTTGGGAGAGCCACCTTGTGTTCAAATTGTGAAATGCACATTTAAAAAAAAAATGGTATACTTCCAGTTTCAGAGCTCTGTTTTCAATTTGCTGAGTACTGAGGTCTCATATTGCATGAATCACCGGGCTCATGCTTCTAAAAGACACAAAGACAAGTGATAACAGAGCCTATGCCCCCCTTAATTTTTTAATTGTAGCAGCTAACTCGGTAACATACATGAAGCAGGTATTGTCACATGTAATTTGACCATCGTCCTTACTGGGAAATAGCAAAAGAGAGAAAAAATGGAGGATGGCGGGAACTTTGTCTGAGTAGATGGTGGGAATGATACCCATCAAAGGCTTAGCGGTTGCTGGTGGTGCCCAGGAGCACACTGAAAGCTTCATGCACACATCAGGGCACTAATGCTCGCAAGGCTTTGTCTCCCACTGTGGAGAAGTCATTGGCCCCAAAGTGCTGATGCCCTGTGACTCAACGTGTTGGGTCTTTACTCATTTAGTTGCTACTGCCTTGCCCTGGAACTCAGGCAGAAAAACTAAGGGGACAGGGAGGAAGTAAAGCAGTATCTCATCCCAAATGCCACCTTACCAGCTCCGGCTGTCTGTCTCTAAACAAAACTTGCTATACCTCGGCTCTCTGTCCCTGGGATGTTCTTTTATGGGAAACTCGCATGGATGCGCTCCTCAAAGTCCCCCAGGCAGTCCACGTGTGCCTCACTTCTAGGACCGGTCTTGCTGAGGTACATGAGCGACTCCCTGCCCTACTGGATTTATTGTGCCTTAGAGAATTCTTTACTAAATTCTGAATTGCATTTGACTTTAAGGGTGATTAAAAAGTGGTTGTCACATAATTTACTTTGAGATGTCTGATAGCTTTATCAAGATCTGGTCATTGTCACAAACAGTATTTTATTTTATGTCTTTCAACTTTGACAGAATGATTCCAAAATGAAAGCAAATAACCTTCAAATAAATTTATCTCTTATGCTTTAGAATGTGCTACTCTTCATAATATGGTAAAAGGGCTACAACAGACCATCGAATATCAACATAATTTGAAAGGTAAGTTAGACAAAAAAATAAATTCCAGATGAACGAAAGACTTTAGTGTAAAGAAAATACAAACTTAAAGGAAAATCGAGGCCACATGTACAATCTAACGCCATGTGCTACTCTTCATAATATGGCAAAACCACTCTGGGAACCTCAGGTGCTATATAAGGAAAAAACAGAACTAACAGACTTTTAAAAACAGAATGAAAAGACTTCTTAAAAATATTTCAGAAAGAGAGGGAGAGATGGAAATATCAATGATGAAAGAGAATCATTGATTGGCTGCTCCCTGCACACCCCTCACTGAGGATCAAGCCTACAACCCAGGCATGTGCCTTCACCACAAATTGAACCGTGATCTCCTGGTTCATAGGTCAACACTCAACCACTGAGTCATGCCAGCCAAGCAGGACTAATAGGCTTTCTTATGCAACAAGAACACCAACAATAGCAACGAGAAGACTTGGCATGTCATTTTGTCACCCAGAAGTCAAAAAAAATAAATTATTTGAAAACATGATTTCAAATACTTATGTAATTTACTATCTACAATATACAAAGAGCTCTACAAATTGACCAGCAAAGATAAATGAAAAAAAGTATAACGGGCAAAAGATATGACTAAAACTATGAGAATGTGTATGTATATATGCATATGTATGATCCAGAGATCAAAAGCACAGAGAAAAACACAGAAGGATACACAGTTATACCAGGGGTATGGAGGTGGAGAGAGAAAAAAAGAGGGAGAGGAAGAAGGCAGAAAGAAAACAAGAGAGAGGAAAGACTGTGCTAAGAGTATCCCAACACGGATGCTATGATCCTACTTATATAAAATTATAAAAATGCATGCATAGAAAATTACAGACTTGAAGGAATGTCTATTTTTAAGAAATAAATTCTTTGCAAAGTAATATGTATAGTACACTTTTATATTGGTAAAAACAAATGAAACCAATAGACATGTGTGATGTGTTTAGATTATATCTATATATCATCTATATCTATATCTATATATATGGCTATTATGCAAAGTGTCCCTCGGGAGTTCGACCAGGAGTTTGATTGTTCACTATGATGTCTGCTGACCACCAGGGGGCGGTGTGGAATGAAGGAAGGCCCTGATCACAGCTAGGCCTAGGGACCTTACCCATGCATGAATTTTGTGCACCAGGCCTCTAGTAGTTGTGTAAGCTGGGAAAGTGGGGAAGAAATACACAGGCTGTAAGCATTGATAACTTCAGTGAGGTGAGTGGGAGGAGAGAGACGCTTAGCTTCCCTTTAGCTACTTATCTTAGTACCACTCTCTCCTGGTCTCTGGACACTTCCCAGTCTCCTTATAGGATAGTCTTCCTTTGGCCACACCCAAATGTTTCTCAGAAATGTTCTCAAATGCAGCATCATAAAGCTTTAGGTTCATTATCTCACTCCTAGAAATTTTCCCCTTTTAATGTTTCCCAAACTGTTGCACATTTTTCACTTACCCAAATCAGAAACCTAAAAGGTGGAGATTCCCCCTTCTCTTCCCTTCTCCTCCTCCCCCACCCCCTTCTCTTTTGCAATCAGCCACTAAGGCTCCTGGTGACTCTGTCATCTAAATCCTTATCTTTATTTTTTCTTTGTCTCCTACTGCCACTGACCTAACTTAGGGTCCCGTTATTTCTTACTTGATCTGCCTTTTCTGACATCCATTCCTCTAAGGTCAAAACCTCCCCATCAGCCTCTGTGCTGCAAAATAATCTTTTTAACTATAATCACTTCACTATTCAAATTTCCCTGTAAAATTCACTGATGATTCCATAAAATAAAATTCAAAGGCAGACCTCCTACTAGGCTACGGCCCCACCCTACTTAACACACCTTCCTCACAGTTTACTCCGACAGTGCTACACTTCACTGGTCACTTTCCCACGCCTGCTGCGCTCAGCCCAGTCCAGCCTTCTGAAATGCCCCCTCCCGCGAGGGGGAGCCTTGGCACTGAAGTCTCAGCTCAGAGGCCTCCTCCTCAGTATCCTCTCTCCTGACCCCAAGCTGACCTGGCTTTCCTCCCCAGGTCCACTGCAGTCACACTGCTGCTGTGGGGCGGCCATCGCACTCAACCACTTACACCTCTCTCTCACCACGGGCTGCATTGAAGATTGACATTTTTGTTTCACCAATCCAGTTTCACGCACTCTGTCCACATGCAGTTGATGTGTAATAGATGCTGTTTTCAAGGGTTGAGTACATACATGAATGGAAACTTGAGAGGATACATATGTTCCCATGTAATTGAAGGTGCTGTATATTAGGATGCTCTTTGCTGTTCTTTACACAGGTAAAAATGAACAACTGAAAAGAGATGCTGATCTTATGAAAGAAAAGTTAAAATCTCATGAACAGGTGAGTGAATGTATCTTTGTATCAATCGAGTCCCTGTAGAGCATTTGCCTTCTTAAATCGGAAAAAAAAAAAAAAGTGGTTGTTTTCATGAATAAACACAATCAAAATATAGAATAAATATATGTATGTGTGAGTGTGTGTGCCAGAATTTGTAATAACATTTTTAAAGAAATAGAAATTTTGAGGACTCTAGTCTTCTTGCAGATTGTAATGTACTAATATGTCTCTTGTGCTTTTTCTTTCTACCAAAAAAACACAACTATTTTGTTACGTATTTTTAAATTATGTTAATAGAGTTTTTACTTTAGAGTATATGTACTCTATTAGCACTTTTGAACTTTTTTACTGCAAAGTAAATGAGTCTTTAATCTTTAAGACTTGAGTAATATGTTGCAATTTTACTGCACCATTTAAATGAAGGGAGTACTTACCCGCCAATTAATTCTCTCCCAGGGCCACCATGCCCTCTGTTACCTTTTCTTTTTTCCCATGAGAACAGCACAGCGTTAGCATCTATAGAACACATACACAACACAGTCACCAAAATGTAAAAGGTGCTGGGTGCATGTTAGTTCCCACCCCTCTGCCCTGTGGGAGGTTTATTACACTAATGAGTCTTATCTCCCGAGAGCCAATATGTCCAACTCTGGCCTAAGATTTCCAAAGTTCTAGTTAGATCTGTATCAAACTTAGAACTTCAGTTGGAAGGACCATCTCTAAATTCAATCTGGTTCCTCACTCGAGGAGCCTCTGAAGAAAAACAGTCTAATTCTAAAACCCTGCAGGGCTCCTGGGTATCACGCAGGTGAAATAACCGGCATCTGGCGCCCTCTTGGAAAATGCCATCTCTCATCACCAATTCTGAGACAATTTAAACATCTCTGGAATAATCCCATTGTTTACTTTCCCCTTTTCTTTATCCTTTTTCCTGATTCTTTCCCAGTCTTTCCTTGCTGGCCTTTAGAGTTCAGCAATAGATAGTGAAGTCAGAGAGTAATTGGGGCAGAGAGAAGGGGGGGAAATGTTTGCCTCTTTTCTCATCTCAGGTGTCAAGCCATACAATACTGCTTTTTCTAGAGTATCATAGGGATTTTCAGAGGATGGAAATTGGTGAGAAAACACCACAGCCCTAGATACTGCAATTCTAAATTAGCTATTGTCCAAAGCAAACTGAAGGTGACCTCAACCCAATGAGAATTCTCTAGAACAAAACCTCCAGGCACACCCAAAACATGAAAAACCACTACCCAGAAAAAACTCTGGAGGGACTTAATAGGCATGTTATGGGCCTGGGAAAGGTTTTGTAATTTGTAGACAGGGAATCCCTAAGTTTTATAAAAACTAAAATACAACCAGAGGCTATTTCTTGGCATTTAAGGTTCCCAGAAGGCAAACAAGAATAACTTGTTGGGACTTGGCCCCCTTAGAAAGAGGAAGGACTGGCCCAGGCTGATGCGGGGGAGAAGAATCCAGTGTGATAGCGCAGCCCAGACAGAGTTAGTCTCCAGGCCTGGGGGTGGGAGTGAAAACCCTGGGTCTTATCAAGTAACGGAAGTGTTCCACTGTAGTGATGGCATTTCAGATGGCAAAGTCAATGGGGAATGAAAAGTAGATAAGTTTGTCTCGTTTCGCAGAGCAATGCACTGTTGAGTCAGAAGTAGTTTATGAAAACAGCTCAGTAGTTGCCCACCTTGGAACCTAGATACATGCATATGAAGAGTGGAAATTCACCTGCAAAGCTTTAATCAAAGTCAGTGTTTGGATAGGTTTGGCCATTCCTGCAAATTGCCTGGCAGGGTAAGTATCACAGTATGAGTCTGGACAAGATCCCCTTGAACTTATGTAACCTGGACAGATGTACCTCTATGTTTAGTCATAGCCATCTAAGCCAGGAGAGCTGAGCTTTTTTACCTCTTCAGTATCACTGAATATCTATTAAAAGCTGTTACCCTTTCTGAGGAGAAAGTTCATCAGTACATATTCACATATATCGTAATGAAAGCATACTATGCTAATTAGACCAGACATCCTTCCGAGAACCTTCCAGAAGAAGCCTGGGCTGCGAGGGAAGCCCGGGTCCTGGGTGCCAGAGGGCAGCCAGTGCTGGAAGCCTGGGGAAGGAAGGCCTACTCTTGCATGAATTTTGTGCTTTGGCCCTCTAGTGTGTGTGTAATTTTACATACAATTTTAGGAAGTTAATGGATCCTCAAAAGCCCATTTACTGTGTCTAAACTAAGAATTTCCCACTTAATTTTTAAAATTTATCTTTATTGTTGAAAGTATTGCAGATCTCCCCCTTTTTTCCCCATTGATTCCCTCCACCCTACACCTGCTCCTCCCAGGCCTTCACCACACTATTGTCTGTATTTATGAGTTATGCATGTATGTTCTTTGGTTAATCTCTTCCCACTCCCAATTCCTTTCTGAGATTTGTTCTGACTTAATTTTTGTTGGCACTCTCATTCATTCAACAAATATATATCAGGAGAAAGACACTAGGAGGCGGGCATACAACAGTGATTCAAAGCAAAGTCCCTATCTCATAGTGTTCAGAGGCTTTTCTTGACCGCTTGCCTTCATTGCTATCTCTTTCTTACTACCTTCTTCACTATTCTTCCCACTGTCCTTTCCTCTGCCTACATCTTGGGCCTCTGAGTGATTTCTTTATGTGGGGACATACCACTGGGAAAATTGTGAATTTTATCTTTGGGGACTTTCTCTTTCATCAACAACCTAATGCCCCTCTCCATGTTAGCATATATGCTCCCACAACCTAAGAAGCAAATCTCAGGCACCTGCTGAGCATGTCTCAAATCCCAAATCCATCCTATTCTAAACCCCTCCCCCCTTATAAAGCTAATCTTTATGATGGGAAATGCTTGCTCTCCTGGGAATTAGGGATGTTTGTATAATTTTTACATACAGAAGTTCATCCCACATTCATAAGGATTCATCCTACTTTAGGGTAAGCTGGTTGTCTATTGAATAGTACCTACCATTGGCTCTGATGTATAACTTTGGCTTTTATTGGATCTATTTTATCTGTCATGGCGTTTATTCATAAAATGAAACAAAATGTTTCAAGCATCTATGAAATGAGTATTATTCACTACACTAGTGATGAGTATTCAGAAAGCAAAAGTGAAAAGACATTATCTTTAGATGGTCTCTGTCTCCTCAGACCAGAAATTGGTACTTCTGAAAGCTGATTGAAACTAAATAATATCTTTACCTTCTAGATATGATAACATATAAAAAATTAATATAAAATTGATAATTTCACCTTTCTAATTAATCAAAAGTAGCATGTACATATTAAATTGAAGAATGTATATATTTTCATCTTTAGGAATATAAGAATAGCATTGCCAAACTTATAAGTGAAATGAAAATCAAAGAGGAAGGACATAAGACAGAATTAAAGAAACTTTATCAGGATATGCAGAAAAAAGGTAATTTTTTATTTTTAATTTACTGAATTCTAAGATATAATAAAACAATTCAAATGCATATACTAATTTTTCTTGAATAAACACTGCCTTGATGTGTTTTAATTTAGGTTTTGTGCCTAAATTATGTGATATAAATTACAACATGTCTAAATTGGAATCACAGTGTTTGCACTTAATATTATTTTCTATGAAACAATGTATAAAATTAATATAAAATGTCTAATTCATAACTTTGATATTTATATACTCAGCATATTGAATATCATTTCACTAGTGAAATTTTCTTCTTTCAGTAAAGCAGATCTTATGAGCCTATGTTGAGAGTTAAGTAGTTTCATAAGGGTATTAAAAGTCTTTTCTTCTTAAAATTTATTTAATATTATTTTATTTTTCTTTATTGATTAAGGTATTACATATGTGTCCTTATCCCTCCATTGCCCCCTAGCCCCCACACTCATGTCCTCACCCTCCTGGTGTCTGTGTCCATTGATTAGGACACATGTATGCATACAAGTCCTTTGGTTGATCTCTCCCCCTACCTCCCTCCCTCCTCTACCTTCCCTCTGAGGTCTGACAGTCTGATCGATGCTTCTCTATCTCTGGATCTGTTTTTGTTCGTCAGTGTATGTTGTTCATTCTTAATGATACCTTATGTATGTGCATTATGCTTGTTGTAGACCAGTGGACTCTTTCCTTTCTCCCTAAAGGAAAGTCCCTTGAGGTTCCCATCTTGGATGGTAAGGCATTATTTATAGGAATAGGGAAATTCAGGGAAGAGGAAATTTGATGAAACATAAAAACATGAATTAAATGTCAGAGAGGCCAATTGTATGGAACAGAGTATGCAGGTGCTTGGTGTGGCTCTGGAGTCATCCAGGAATTTGGGGGTTTTCTACCTAGAAACCTAGGCTTTTATCCATCTTTAGCCACTGAGCATTGCATGCGGTTTAACCTCTTTAATCTCTAGGCCACTGTTGCTTAAGGGTACAAATCACTTTATTTGTTTAAAACGCATTCAATGGGTGACTTCTGTGTTTCAAGCATTTTGCAAAGGCTTGTCAAAAATATCTAAAGGTCTGCTGCACATAGTTTCTGAAATTCTGTGTGTGTTTATTAATAAAATTTACTTTCTCGGGTATCATTTAAAATACTAAAACTCTAAGATTTTTTAAATTTTAAGGTGAATTAATTTTATTTACTTTGTTTTATTCAGTCGAATTAAATGAAGAAAAGAATAAAGAACTGGTAAAGAAAATGGAGATGGAAATTTCAGAGTTAAATGCAAAGTTAAGAATTCAAGAGAAGGAAAAACAAACTGAAATAATCAAACTACAGCTAGAGGTAAATGTTTAAGACTTCTACATTTGAGGATGCATCCCTTAATTTAGACCAGACTTTGGGCATTTTTTATCATAGTGAGAGAAATTCAGGAGTAGCATTCTCCATCGCGTGCAATGCTCAAACTCCGCAAATGTCAGTTACGCTGCCATTCAACACTTGACCTGAAGGTGGGGCTCTTCAGTCATTCAAATGTCCTGGTTTCTGGGGAAGTATTGTTTCCTTTGAGAGGGTCAGGTAACTCAGGGATTACCTGCATTATACAGCTGAGTCCCGGCAGATTTCATAGAACTGTTCTCCCCTACACCCACTCCCCCCACACTCCCCCCGTACACACACACACACAGTGGAGAGTGTCTCTACTCCTTAGTGTTACTCTCTTCTCCGCAGAAATGGTAGAAATTCCTTTCTTTACTTAGGATAAAAAGAGACAAATGTCTCCCTAATAACTGTGTAGAATATCATAGAGGCAGACGAACCAAACTTTTTTTTTTTATTTAAATGAACTTCAAATAGGGCATCAGAAAGGCTGAGGTTCTAGTTCTTCTTTTTTTTTTTTTTAATATATTTTTTAATTGATTTTTTACAGAGAGGAAGGGAGAGAGATAGAGAGCTAGAAACGTCAATGAGAGAAACATCGACCAGCTGCCTCTTGCACATCCCCTACCGGGGATGTGCCCGCAATCAATATACATGCCTTTAACTGGAATCGAACCTGGAACTCTTCTGTCTGCAGACCGACGCTCTATCCACTGAGCCAAACCGGCTTCGGCTGAGATTCTAGTTCTTGACTGGAGAGCCCTTCAGTAGGTTCCTTAGCCAGGTGTCAAAATATAAAGATACGAATATTTTGACAATATATTGGTTCCTTGAGGCTTTTTCTAAATTTTACTAATCTCCCTTTCCATCTTTTTTTATCACATTCCCCCAGTCTGACTCCCACTTTACCTTATGGTGTCATAATTCACCATCAGTTAAGATCACTTTCATGTTCCAGCTAGTTTAGTGTCCTGGGGGTTATCGGTAAGGTAGTGTTGAAACGTGTATAACCATTAAGCAAAAGATGACTATGTTGACTTCAGAGGTGCTTTGTGATGTGGCTACTGCCTTCCATCAAGTGACCCACAGACCACAGAAAGCTGACTGCGCAGCTGAGATACAGAGGAGCTGCTGTTAACTTCCCATCCCTTGCCTGGGTGTGCATTTCATTTGCCATCCGGACCCTGTCAGCCCAAGTCCGTTGTGTGACTGACAGAACTCCTCCTGCTGTGTATTTTCATTGTCATGATCCATCTCTCCCCAAACCAGAACACAATCTCAGAGACAGTTAATTGTTAGTCCACAGGGGGGCTGCACTAAACTCAACCTGAAGGGAAAATTATAATGGGAGATTTTGCCAAAAATAAGGCCTATGAGAATGACCTTACGAGAATTTGTTTTTAAAACCTGCCTCAGTTTAAAGTCAAAGTAGCAAGAGTTCAAACTAAATCAATGAAAGCAAATCCAAATTCTATTATTCTGTCTCAAAATCTGTACAGAAGAGTATATGAGTTTTCTCCCATGATTGTTAATTAGCCTACATTTTCTTTACAAAAACACTTTGCCCAGCCAGTGTTGCTCAGTGGTTGACCGTTGACCTGTAAGCCAGGAGATCACAGTTTGATTACCCATTGAAGCATATGCCTAGATTTTGGGTTTGATCCTCAGTGTGGGGCGTGTAGGAGGCAGCCGATTAATGATTCTCTCTCATCATTGATGTTTCTCTCTCTCTATCTAGCCCTCTCCTTTCCTCTCTAAAGTCAATTAAAAATACTTTTTTAAAAAGCACTCAAAGTAATGTGAAATATTATCTCACTTTAGGTTAACTAGATTCTCAACCCTCTTTAACTAGATACTTAACCCTGCATGATAAAAACATTTGATATGCTAAGAAGAGATGATGGCTAACCCAACCTAGAATCTCCAGGGTAGTGCCCAGTATTGGGTACTTTTAAAAAGCTCCCCAGGTAATCTTAGCATGCAGCCAGGGTTAATCTTATTTGGGTGTTCTTTGCTCTTTCGTAAACACTTTTCTATCTTCTGTTACACCGAGAATATACTTAATTAGAGGCCCACTGCACAAATTCATGCACCAGTGGGATCCCTTGGCCTGGCCTGCAGGATAGGACCAAAACCGGCTCTCTGGCATCCCTTGAGGGGTCCTGGATTGTGAGAAGGTGCAGGCCAAGGGACTCCACTGGTGCATGATTGTGGCAGGGAAGGGACACAGTAGGTTGGCCAGCTGGAGAGGCACCAGGAGAGGGCTCCAGGGTGTGTCTGGCCCATCTCACTCAGTCCCAATTGGCTGGACCCCAGCAGCAAGCTAACACTGGTCGGAGCATCTGCCCCCCTGGTAGTCAGTGCACATCATAGCTACTGGTTGACTGGTCGAATGTCTGCCTTCTGGTGGTTAGTGCACTCATAGCAAGCAGTCTTAACTTATCATTAGCATATTACGCTTTGATTGGTTGAATGGCTGACTGGTCAACTGGACACTTAGCATATTAGGCTTTTATTATATAGGAATAAAGATTAAATGTCAAATGATATAATGGATTGTATTTATAATTTTGGAGAAATTTTTTCTAATTGTTTAACTAGAATATTCCCAATAACTTTCTTTTAAAACTTGATTCAGTTTGATGGCAAACTAGCAAGAGTTCAATCTAAGCCAAAATCATATCAAGATTCTACTGTTTTGCCACAGAGTATCTACAGAAGGGTAAGTTTTTCTTCCATGCTTAGGAAAATAAAGTTTCTTAGTTTCCTTCCATAAAAGTTGTCACTATTTACTAGCAATATACTTAACACATTTCTTAAAATATATCATAATCAGAAAGATTAGATTTTGAATAATCCTTAAAGGTCACTTTCAATTTAAACTCATAAGTCTTCATGATGAATTAAAACACTAGAGAAGTCCTCTGACTCCGGATGGTCTAAAGGATTCTGTGATACATTTTGAACTAACGTGGACAGACTTCTGAAGCTATTTCAGCACACAGTAGACTTCTTTTTGCTCAACTCCTCCTTTACAACTTCAAGTTCTATAGGGAGGAGGGAGCAAACTAAAACAAATGGTGCTAATGTGTGTTTTTGCATCTTTATGCCAATTTCACCCCCACTCTGTACTATCAAAACAAAATCACACCTTTCGAAATGGAAGGTCTTTTTCGAATACCTGCTTCTCCTTAAACTAGAACATGAGTTTTTGTTGTTTTTTGTTGTTGTTGCTGTTGTTGTTCCTTGCACGTAATCTCCTTCTTTTTGAATCGCAATAGCAAGTTTTTTCTGCTTCATCTAGAAGCTTCAGCATCTTCAAGAGGAAAAGAACAAAGAGATCGCGGCTCTCCGTGACACCGTTCGAGACCTCGAGCAGCGCCTCTCCGCTGGCAAGGAGCCTCATCTGAAACGCAGACGGTTCTAAGGCCAGCAGTTAACTCGTTTGTTGCTATTTAACTTCTTTTTAAAAAAAAAAAAAATTATATTTTATTGATTTTTTAAATATATTTTATTGATTTTTGTACAGAGAGGAAGGGAGAGAGATAGTTAGAAACATCGATGAGAGAGTCATCGATCAACTGCCTCTTGCACACCCCTTACTGGGGATATGCCCGCAACCAAGGTACATGCCCTTGACCAAAATCGAACCCGGGACCCTTCAGTCCCCAAGCCGACTCTCTATCCATTGAGCCAAACCGGTCTCGGCTATTTTATTGATTTTTTTTTACAGAGAGGAAGAGAGAGGGATAGAGAGTTAGAAACATCGATGAGAGAGAATCATCGATTAGTTGCCTCTTGCTCACCCCCTACTGGGCATGTGCCCGCAACCAAGGAATGGAACCTTGACTGGAATGGAACCAGGGACCTTTCAGCCCACAAGCTGATGCTCTATCCATTGAGCCAAACCTGTTTCGGCAGCTATTTAACTTCTTTAAAAGCTGTTGAAAAATGTACTTCTGTTGTCAATATAATAAACTGCCTAAGTAATAACAATGAAAGAGACAGCTTTAAACATTTTAAATTGAGTTTATTGAAATAAATCCACTCTTTGGCCAACTGTACACTGCATTCTTACTTAACAGTATTAACCATAACAGAGTTCAGGCTCATAGGATTGAGTTTACCTAGTGAGCCATCATTGACTATGGAAATACCTACTTAGCAATCAAGAGATAGACAACATTCTTTTCTCTTTCCCCTATATCTTTCAAGACAGGCATTCTCAAATCTTAAAGAGTTTACTACATGCGAGGTAAAGAAAACAATAAAGCCTTCTTTCATAGGTGAAAATAAAATTTAAGATATGAGTCTTAGATATAAAAAAGTATAAATGGATATTTAAAATGTAGTCAGTAGCAAGGTACTCAAGAATTCACTTCTTCCTTTAAAGGTAGAATCAGTTAAAACTGTAAGATTGAAAAGACAAAGGTAGCATTGTTTTGAGAATTAAGAGGAAAAAAAAAAATGGAAAGCCTGTCTTTGTTGTTCTTCCTCCATTCTAAGTTGCTAACTATCCAACAGAAACCCCTAGGTCATAGTTTATGTTCCTGTTCTCATTAATGCAACTAGAATACTGGAAAAAGAAAAAGAAAGACAGACTAACCAGGCGCTGCAATCACCTTTCAGTGGCCCTCTAATGAAAAAAAAAATGGTTTGGGTCAAATTTTTCTGTGGCATAAATCTTAAAATTTAGAAGTCAATATCGTAGATTTCTTCATGTTTGCACAAATCCAATTCCTTTTATCGTCATTTATTAAGTAGTTTATAAATATGCTAAGTCAAATTAATGTCTAGACTGACTTGGGAGTATATCCTAGTTTAGATATTTAGTTTGAAGGTCACTGTCACATTTCTGCCTCGGTTTTTCAGCTTCAGGTGGTGCTGGCTTCTGTGGGCTCGAGCTGACCTGCCTGTCAGGCAGCGGGAGGCAAGCGTCACTGTCAAGACTCAATGACGTTCTCCTCCTCGGCCCAAAGCCCCACTCAGCTGCATAAAGAGGGGAGGGCTTCTCTACACTGTCAGGTGATTGCGGACCCTGTGCGCTCAAATGCCAGATGGCGGCAGTGTCAGCATCAGCTGCTAGCGGCTGACTCTGACTCTCTGGGCAACTTTCAGAGTAACTGGTTTATACACCTCTTTCCTCAGAGTTTCTGCTGTGGAGAAGAGAGGGGTAAACTCTCACTTCCTGCCTCGTCTCAGTGCACGGGGTGACCCTGGTTTTGGGGGCCCTTGAGCTTCAGGGGGTGGTGAAGACCCGGAAGAGGGGCGTGCTCAGACGCGATTGGTGCCGCCAGCTGCTGGTTCTCAGAGGCCTGGGCGGTGGGAAGGTGCTGATGCCCATGCTTGTGATGGTGATGATGATGGTGATGGTGGTCATGGTGATGGTGGTGTGGCTCCTGATCCTCCGTGGTTTTTCTCATAGTAGCCAAAGACATGTTCTTACAGAAGTCTTCATCTTCCAATGTCTGAAACAAATGTATCAATCTCTCATCAACACCTGTATAGATTCAGCGTGAATGCGCAAACAATGACCTGCAGAGCTACCATGAAACTTCATCTAGTTCACTAGGATGGCACTGGCTTTGTGTGTTGAGAAAGAAATCTCGGGAACGAGTAGAAAATGTATCCCATCTCAAAGTAAATGCCATGACCCATCTGCAGGATGGCAGGCAGCTAAGACCTTGGGAAGAGCTGAACGCCTCACACCCTTGCTCCATGAAGACGTTCCCTGGGCCCCGCTCCAATTCAGGCAACACACTGTGGTCACGTTTTGCTGTCTCTAAGCTCTTGCATGGACCACGCTCAGGATCTTACACTGACGTGCCTGTATGTTAGCTGAGTTCTTGGAGCACTTACCCTCTCGCAGCATCATTTGCTGGTAACTGAGACATGTGATCTACATTGTTTTTTAATCTCTAAACTCTACACCAAAGCAGCAATATGGATCCTGAAAAGATGTCTTAAAGAATAGGTTACATGACAAGGAGTGTGTGTGCTGATAAAAATTCCTGTTGCAGTTTCTTTTCAGTACACCAACACTGACTAGCTAAGTTGGTCATGAAACATTAACTTATTTCGATAATTCTTTAAAGATCTCCTCCTTTCTCCCAGTAAAAATCATTGAAGGACATACCGTGAGAGAGCAGTTTCCACATTTCTCTTCACAGTAAGCACTCTTAATGGCCTGCTCCACGTACGGGAACGCTAGGATGGAGAAAGGCAGGCCAAGGTGATACACAAGGCGGCCACACCTGGAAGAAAGGACAAACACGGCGTCATCACAGTGTTCTCTATCGTGCTCCCTTGCTCCGGCCCCAGCGCAGTTGGAAGAAGGCTGTGTAGGGTCAGGGGTCTCATAACTAAGACAGGTCGGACCTTCAGGAATGGTCCTCTGGCAGGTCTCAAGCTCCCTGGCTCTCAGCCAGCTCAGGTCAGAGCAAGATACAGTGAGTCTACCACTAGCTTTTAGAAATGTTACAGATATATTGCTATGAACAATATCAAAACTGTAGTCTAGTCACTGTGACTTGGTCAAATACAATTTGTAATTGACCTAAAAGTTCTGCCCATGCCCAAGCCACTGACATCACAAATTAATCTCTGCAAATCATATGTGCCGCTCACAGCTGCCAAGGCAGCACGAAATCCACACAAGAAGTCACAGCCTAACAACACATCCTAGAGTCTTGGTCAGTGGTCCATATGTACTAATAATAGAGGAATATGCAAATTGTCCAGGACGCTGTCACAGTAACAATTGATCAGCAAGCTATGCATGCAGCAGGTGCGGGTGGGTGGGGACTTGCAGTGTTGGGGGCGGGGCCTCAGGGGGGACCTTCATGTACCTGCACCAGGGGAGGGCCTGAACAGCAGCCGCCGCTGCTGGCAACCAATCAATGTGTCCCTCTCTCATTGATGTTTCTCTTTGTCTTTCCCTCTCTCTTCCATGCTCTCTAAAAATCAAAGGGGCCGAAACCGGTTTGGCTCAATGGATAGAGCATCGGCTTGGGGACTGAAAGGTCCTGGGTTCAATTCCAGTCAAGGGCATGTACCTTGGTTGCAGGCATATCCCCAGTAGGGGGTGTGCAAGAGGCAGCTGATCGATGACTCTCTCTCATCAGTGTTTCTAACTGTCTATCTCCCTTCCTCTCTGTACAAAGTCAATAAAATATAAATAAATAAATAAATAAATAAATAAATAAATAAATAAATAAATAAATGTCAATGGGAAAATATCCCCAGGGAGGATAAAAAAAAAAAAAAAGAATTGTCATATCCTATGAAAGAGACATCTTGAAAATGCCTAAATAAAGTCATTTTTGTGTGAAGGGACTAGAGTCCATATTGATAAAAAACACCTTGGCGGCTGCAAGGGCCAAGGCCTGGCAGGTGCAGCAGCTGGCAGTGGCAGCAGCAGCGGGGTGATGGAGGCAGCACCCCAGGGAGCAGGCCTAAGCCATCAGCAGGACATCCCCTGAGGGCTCTCGGACTGTGAGAGGGGACAGGCTGGGCTGGGCTGAGGAACCCTCCCCAGTGCACAAATTTTCATATACTGGGCCTCTAGTTTGGTAATAAAATAAAAGCAAGGGTCGTATCTCAAATCAATTTCTATTATATTAAATACAAGCAGGCATCTTTAATTTCTGGTAGTGTGTGTGGGTCTGTGTGGGTCTGTGTGTGTGAACATACATACCTGTCATATATGAGGAAATCATCTTTATTTCCATTTAAGAGAGTCCAGACATCTGTTTGTTTTTCTTCTTGTTGATAAACAGGAATATGCTCTGAAACCTCATTTTTAAGAAGATTGTATTTTAATCGAGAAGGGAGTCCTTGATTATTAACAATAATATAGGAGATGTTAGAAAAACCTTCTTTCTCCAGCTTTACTCGCAGGTCTTCCAAACTAAAATATTTGGGGAAAATACAAATAAAAAGAATAATCTCACTTAATTTTATTAGTGACTTATCTCTTTCTCCTCACTCTTTGTTTTCTACATGAAACACTATGTTTTACTTACTCATACCGCCCCCCCCCCTTGTATTGTTGTAAAGGACTAAAACTTCCACTTTGTAAATTATTTACTGAGCACTTGTGCCCAATTTAAAACCTTATGCTAAATGCTTACACAAACATGAGTTCACTTTGTTCTCAAATTAATCCTAAGAAGTGTATATTTTTAATCCATCTTACCTTATTAACTGAGGATTCTACCCAGTCAATAGCTAGCAAGTAACCCAACAAATATTTTTACACATATTTGTTATGTAGACTTAACAGGTGTATGTAAATTTACATGCTTGTTATGTTAAGTGACCCAAGACCTTTGTGGCAAGTCTAGTCACTCCAGTGTTCCTTCGTCTTTGTTTGCTGCCTTGAAATGATTAAGGCATTTGCAGAGTACATTCTAGAACATTTCCATT